TCATAATGCCTTTCTAATTGTGAGTTTGTATTTCATTCATGGAGAAAACTATCTCAGAGATAAAACATATATAAGAGGAGGCGTGGTCAACATATTGATCACCTTCTTGGTTGACGCCTTAACATCTGCTTAGGGAACATAACTATAAGCAGCTCCTTAAAACAAGGAGTTGACCATGTAAACCACTATACATGTATACCTAATTACAAGAAAAGAACAACAAGCTATTAACCACCTAGAGACCCAACGCAATACCTAGGGGTAAAATAGCTTGTAGTTGACAGAACCCTAATTACCTTGAGGACTTTGAATACTTCCAATAAATACCATAGAAACTGTACTATAAGAAGACTACCAATGAACAATTAAGACACTACAAAGTTACTGTAGAGCATTACAAATGCATTTCAAAGACACTTAGCAAAGAGATTTCAAAATGACACTTTATTTAAAAGTTCTCGTTCAAATGTATACAGCATCAAGTCATTTTCGAAGTTCCTCAACATAATCTTTTGTATTGCATAGCCTCAGCTTCATGGAACTTCAAAGCCCCTCATCCAAACACACTCTTTAAATGCCGATGTGGATTCACATCTCAATAAAAGGGTAGGTCTTGGATTTGATTTTTGAATGTAATAAGAATGAAGTTTGTATATGAGCTATATGATATATGTGTGTATATATGGGTGTATATTTTGATGTTCATACTTTATATAGTATTTTGAGAAAATTTATGTGTACTTGGAACACTTATCACGTGTTGTGTCACTTCAGTATTATAACATGAGTGAACGACAAATTCAAGTAATATGTCCAATTTTTAGATTTTTTTTAAAATAATACACATGTTATAATATTAATTGAAGAATAACACCATCGAAAAATCTCTCAAAATATTTATTGTTAAGATTGAACAAATGTGTGAGCCAAAAGGTTTCACACGCCAGCCAAATGAGCACTAACTAGAACCATACAAAATATCACATCCCATATGAGTTGGACATATTTAGAATTTTATTGAAAATAGTTATGATATCAAATTAAGGTCGGCAAGCCTATATGGACTTATAAATTTAGCCAGTGTTAGGTAGGTACGTGGGAGGTCGAAATTTAGCCTTCTTACAGAGCCCGCCCTAGAGTTGTATCTCTCTCTTGTAAGCATCTTGTTACCTTGAGCTAACATAATTAGTGACCTTTGACTGTAGTAAAAGTGCAACGAGAGGTAAAATGATGGGGCTAAGTTGTGTTGTTTCAAAAGTTGCTACATATCCTTCTAAAGCGATTAGCCGCGTTGCAAATTAACTTTTACTTTAAGTTGATGAATTTTTGTGCTGAAAACATGTGGATTATGTGACTCTTCATACTTTTTAGAATTGTAGTAGTTTCATAATAGATATGAGGTTTCAAGTTTCTCATATCGCATCAATAAGTTTTGAAATCGTATCAATTAATTATATCTTTATGCTTGTTTGATTGTCTCATTCCTTAAATTGATGACGTAACTAGAAACCAATATATGGACCAAAACTAGTCACACATGGGACTAACGTTAGTCCCATTAGCTTCTCTAACCCAATTCTTCACATTCCAAAACGATAAACAATTACAGAGAGTACTACCGTTATGTGGCTTCTAGGCATCCTAGGAATAGGTCCTACATTTTCCACAGCAACGATTATCCTACAGTTAAATAGATAGAAGACACAAATTATAACGACTTCAATAGCCTTATTAAAAATTCACCGAAAACATAAGAGTGTAGAATGTGGTTTAACTCTTAATTTTACTTCTCTAGCTAACTATTAATTTCACTTCCCTCATTTCATTATTTTACGGACTCCTTTGACATGTATGGTTCTAACCTAAAGTTTCTACATTTGGCTCTTATTAATTTTACTTTATGTGAATCTACCATTTTATTTTTCGAAAGGGCAATCACGTTGTTGATTCCTTAGCTAATTATGGGGTTGATCATGTTGGCTCTCATTGATGGGATTATGTTCCTTCCTTTGTGTCTACATCTTATTCTAGGGATTTTTTAGGATTCCCTAGCTATCGGTTTTCATGATTTTGTTGCCATAGTTGCTTTCCCGGGGTTTGGTTTTTATCCCCCCGTCATTTAACTACCTTTTTCTTCTTCATTAATTTAAAAAACGTAAGGGGCTGATCCCGTTTTATAATAAATAAAAAAATAAAAAAATGTGAATCGACCATTTGAGTAAAGAGTGTCATTTTTTGACCGACCTCTCTTTAACATTCATGGTTCTGCTGTGAATTTTCTATGTTTCAAAAGGCATTTCATATTATATGTTCAAAACCAACAATATATACAACTGCTTCAAACCTATATATTCGAAGGTTTTACGCTTTTACTCTCCTCCATGATGTGACTGCTTGTATTGTATCACTTATACCCATCGATCATATGTCTCTCTGTGTGTGTGCACTATACACCCTGCATCCAGTACGCAATTGTACCACATGGCAAAGCATATAAAACACATCAAGCTATGGAGTGAAACAACTCTTGGACACTTTTGCCAAATGTTTTAATGCTATGAATTAAGAATTCATGATGATTGCCATTTCTGTATGTAAGAGTACTGCAGTTAAATTAAATTTTTAGACCAAATTTGTAAATTATATGATGCATCATCAATAAAAAAAAGCATGTTAATTCGATCATCAACAAACATGTTATAAGGTTTACAAAATTGGTCTAACTAGTTGATCTCCCTAACATTACCCTTTTTATATACAACAGAACTTGCATACGCATGCTTCACTCTTGTCTAACTCAAATATTAATTCCTCGACTTGTATGTTATGGGAGTTGATTTTTACACACCATTTTTAGCCTTTCACATACCGCTTCTTACTTTTAATTATCAAATTGTATATAAAAAAAATGTGTATTTATCATTTTATATATGTTATCTTGAGAGTCTATACATATCACTATACTTATTGGATAAACATTAACATTTCTTAATGCACATGCAATATTTTATGCCCCATGCATTTACAATATTTTATGCATGTCCTTAATTACTTGCAAAAGGATGTAACATGAGTCTTTATTTTGGTTTGGTTTTCTTTTGGGGTCGAAATAGAGAGGGGGATTTAACCTCATTGTGGTCATGTGAATCAAATGCTCCCAACTCCTCTCCTTCTACTATTTTCTTCAATATTCATCACGTAACTTTATCGCATGATCAACAAGTGATGTTATATGTTGCATTTATACAATATCAGAAAGCAAGTCATATGTTTCGTAAATCTAGGGTTCGTGAGAAAAACGAAAGATAAAAGAAACTCTTTGGAAATTATGGGTGCTAGGTAAGATGTGTCCTTGAGCCCTACGTAATGGTGGAGATATTTTTCTCTCAATCGAGAAATTGCAATTTGCAAGCCTAACTCTAGGTAGCTAGTTCAAACTTTCTTTATTTTTTAAGACAACCTATTGACTTAACATTTGGAAAGGCATCATATCGATGTTATCTCACTTTCGTAGGCTTCTCTCCTTATCCTTTATTGGAACATATCAATCAATTTTTGTGTCTTATTTCATCCTCATCCACAAATAAAAAGAAAAACACTGGTAATGCTGTAGTCAACTGTAGTGTATGTAGATAATATATATCATATATGAGTTAGAATTCAGGGTACACACTATTGACTTATATTTCGACACTAATTTGGTAGTATATATCCATTTTGTAATTTATTTCAATGATTTAAACTATCTATATTATTTAGTACATCTCTCATATGTTGTGAAGAAAATGGACAAATCAAAACCATTAAGATATTCATTTGTTGTAAAGAAAATGGACGAATATGATTCTACATAGAAACACTAAATTTAAAAGAAAACTAATGAAAAGAACTTGAAAACTTTGAATTTTAACAATAAGGACAAAATAAAGGGTAAAGTGAATAGTATCAGGATTGACTTTTTAGTGTAAAAATGTGGTTTTTTGTTAAAGTGAACAGTGACGGAAGCTTTTCATTAAAGTTCTCTAAATTTAATCCAACAGTCATATGATTTTTTTATTTGGGTAATTTTTAGTAAACATGATATTTGAAATAAAACATAAAAAAAATAAACGATTCAAATTGTTAAAATACTTTATAGAGTAAACTCTACAAAAACGTGTGTTCCCAAATCTTGACCCTTATACACACGCAGGCATGTATGTAAACATTTTTCGATAGTGTGAATCATGCGCAGCCTTAGTCCATGTGGTTTGGACCCTCTCTTCCCCAAACGCTGATTGGACCGTCTCTTGGGTTGTATGATATCCAGTGAGAATATCCCTTCTTCTGCCCCAAATGAGAAGCAAGTACAGAGGGAGCGAGAGTGAATAGTCAAATGTTGCACCCATGCACTGGGAGTTCACGGGGTTGTGTACTTTAGGCCGCACACAAAACGATATTGGAAATGGTAGGTCCCGGAGTGTAGTAGATTATGGTCAATTTGTCAAGCATGAAAAAAGCAAGAGCAACCCTCCATGCACCACTACTCCACAAGTTTAAGAATTTTGAGAAACCACTGTGAGGAAAAGGGAGACAGAATGTGTGCTTTTAGACTCCTGGGTCCTTTGTGCGTATGCAGTAATTACATTGGATCAAACGTTCAATTTACCTTCTTTAAAGTGCTTTGCGCGGCGACAGATTCGTCGTGCAAGTTGCTGGCATAAAAAAAGCATCATACCCTCCTTTTTCCTTCCCTTTTGCGCGACGAAAGGTTTTGTTTGTCGAGCAAAGATATTCCTCCGTCGCATAAAGATTTTATCATTTGCGTGACAGATTCCTAGTTTAGATGATTTAAGCGACAAATTTGTCTTTGTCACATAAAGTTTCGTCTTGCAAACTGTTTTTTTTTTCTACGAGAAATCCTAATTGATATGTTACCTAGTTGACATCCAACATATTATTCATCCCCTCGTATGTTTTATGATAGACGGCTCGTAATAATTTCAGGATATAATTCACAATTTACAAAGGTTGCTAGTGTTTTGTTAGTGTTTTTTATATCTTTGTTTCTATATTGAAAATTAAAATGATAAAATACCAAAGTCCAACAAAAATTACGTTTTTTTGGTGTTTTATTTTAATTTGCATATGAAGGATAAGAAGATATATAAATTCTGATCTAAATTACTTGGCATGCTCGAGCAATTCTGAAGGATTAGTACACCAGAATCAGGAGCTCGCAGTCTTTCAGAAGTGGATAAGTTTCTTCAGGTATGTCGCTAACGTCACTGCAAATGTAAACTAATGATTAGCAACTTAGCTATCTATTGAAACACTACATAAAATATGATAGTACAAGCATAAAAATAACAGTTATCTGAGACCTGCATTTGCGGGAATAGAAGCTCTACCTAATATAACAAACATTACCAAAACTATATCTCAAGTCGATATAAACCAAGTTGATATAAATTCTGACCTTCAAATCTTGTACTACAAATGGATCCTCATGTATGATATTAAATTGCAACTCTGAGACTGCAGCACCAGCAAGAACCACACTTGTATCCACCAAATAATAATGAGTCTTTTTCATTACCTGCCAATAACTGTCTCAGTTTCATACACATGTGTGGTGTAAGAAAGGTACACATTAGGTAGCTACGAAGACACGATTAAAGAAAGCATCCGTATATGACCCATTATTCAATGGAATGCAAGAAAGGAAGATGCTTGGACCTCAAAATCACGCTGGGGAACATAGATCGGGATGGTGGGTTGGACATTGTTTGTCCAATCACGAAGATCATCCAGACCTGGAGACATAGAAATAGAGCCTCAGCGATGTTTAATGTCAATTAAAAGGAATTAGAAAAGAGAGAAAAAGAAGATTAACAGAAAAGATCTAAAGCATCATCGTAAGTTTGTTAATAGTTTAAATAACAACATTAGAAAGTGTTCATGACAGAGACCTCCAATAGCATCAGCATGAGAATGAGTAATTATAACCGCATCAATTATTCTTAACCTGACAGAAATACAACTAGTTACGACAAGGCAAATACCAGACAATTACACACATATATTAATGGAAGCACCACTAATTTAACCATATATGTAAGTCCTTGAAAACAGAGAAACCCTTTGAATAAAAGAAGCTGAAGAAAAAACATAGTCTTGCCACTTTAACAGTCCAAAAAGCACACTTCAAGATATGTAAAACTTGAATCCAACTATCCAAGATTAAAGGTCCTACCCAGTGGACAAAGCTCCCGCTTTACGCAGGGTCTGGGAGAGGTGAATGTCGGCTAGCCTTACCCCCTTGAAAAATCGAAACTACAACAATCAGGGGTGGGCCTACATAACATCCTATGCATAAATCTAAGGAATACATGAGAGTGGTAATACACTACCAAAACACTAGACCACAAGAAATCAGTCCTCAATATCAACGTCTGAAAGTTTTATCTTGAAGTTTCCTAACATAACATGCACTGTTAGTGTCTGATCTTATTGCAACTAACCCAGATAATTTAGACATGTCACACATGAGAGACAATTTGAGATCATGAACTCATATACGATAGCAACATAAACAGATGAGGCAATAACTAACCCGTGGGCAGTAAACCATTGGAGAGCACTGTAGTAGAAAAACCTGTGAAACACGAATAGAAATTCAACTTTCACCAACAAAGTGTCTGGAAGTATATTATTGAGGCATAACAAAATCTTGTAACTTTTCTTTTTCTACTTTTAAAGTTTTTAAGTTATAAATAAGAAGAATTATATTTGTATCTTCATTGGTAATAAGCCAAAACAACAATGAAACAATTAAATCCAGTTTTATCAATTGTGTCATATTATAATTTAATAATTTATATAGCAAGAAATACATGGACTACAGCTATAAATTTTATTTTAAAAGTAATATTGAGGTAAATTATCCTGTAGCTTTGCCCATATGAAAAGCTCCCATCAACCCACATCATAAGGCTCCAAACGGGGTTCTATTTGATTGATGGATCTTTGCCTCACGCGGAGGCTGCAAATACCACTGTGCAACAATGCCTGTGGTGCTAAACTTATCCAGAAAATATGGTTCTTGGATGACACACCAACTTGTCAGCCTACATATTTACTATCAATTTACTGCATATGAGAAGCAGATAGTTAAGTGGATTATCTTCCATGCCTACCAATGAACTCATAAACATATTAAGTTTGACAAAAGTCTTACTTTTTGCAAGTCTTAGGTTTAAACTATGAGTACTTGATACATATTCTTTTCCAACAAAGATTTGGTACACCACTGCAGATTTAATATTTTAATCCATAACCAACCACAACCTTGAATTAGAAATTTACGAGATAAAGAAGTAAAAGTACATTCTTAGGGTAACATACACGGGATGCATAAAATTGATATATCACTTACTTTCCAGCATCTATAAGTATGTTATAATTTCCAGAGGGTCTAGGATAACGAATAAGGATGCTTGTGTTGAGCCTCTTATTTCTATTCCCAGCTTCCACAGCTATCAAGCAAACCTGAAAAAAAACAAACAAGCAATCATTTCCTTACTAATCGGATGCGCATTTGATTAGAAACAAAGTAGCCAACATAAATCTTTGGATAGGACATGCCAAAATTACTTAAGCACAGAGGTTTCATAACCATACCGCACATGTCTTTAAAGGATTTGTCAGGCAGCTGACTCGGGGAATTCCTTCACTAGTACCAGTACCTATATATATGATTTCTGATTGCTCACAAGGTGAGCCAGCACCCGTAGTTGCAGAATCTGTGGTTCATTACAAAGTCAGTACACAATAGCTTAAAGCTCGTACAATCCGCGAACAGAGAACATTCAAATTTGTCTATATGGTAACAACAAAGCCCACCAACATTATATATTTCATCACCATGCCAAAAGCCAAACTACCATCTTATAAATTAGAACTATTGTTTGGAGTATGCAAATTTAAAACCAAAATTATAACCCAGTTAATCAAATTTGAACCATTTGTTTCCATCATCCATTGATTCATTCAATGCAAATCAATGTATATATCACAACTTCATTCCTATTTACACCCAAAAGTTCAAACACAAGCTGCACAACTTAGTCCCTTATCTCTTATTAAGCAATACAAGTAAAATTTGGCGCCTAAAATCAATGCATAAAAACCATATATACCCACAAAACAAGAACACTGAACATTTACCGATTCAACGGTTCAAAGGGTATTAGAATATCAAGGAAATGCACAAAACCCAGAAATAAAAAATGCAAAATATTGTAATTGGAGCAAGATAAATAACAAATCAGGGATGGAGGAGCTTACAAGATTGGAGGTAAGAGTTGAAAATTCGTCTAAAGGGAGAAAACCCATTTGCCGGAGCTGTGATTGGAGGGCTGTGGAGTGAGAGTTGGCGTTTGTACGTAGCAAAGTAGCTCAGAGAAGAAGGGCGAATAGTGCCCAAAAATTGAACCATTTGCCAAAAGCCTACTGGGAATCTGTAAACAAATTGGAAAGTTTCCTTTTGACTATTACTCCTTTCTCCTCAGCTTCACAAAACCCTTGTTAGTGCATTTGGCGTGTAGCCAAGTGGGAAGGGACATGTCCTTTTTTTTTTTTTTTTTTTTTACAGAATACTCTTCGGATTTCTTTGTGAGGATTCCAGAAATTTTTCAATCACGTTCAATCATTTACATCGTGTGATCAGAAATTATTATAAATTTTTTTATTTAAAATTGAATATAAATAGTATTTAATAAAAAATGACCGCGCGTTATACAATAAACAGACGTGATTAGAGAATGTCCGGAGTCCTCACAAAGAGGATCCAGAGAGGATGCTCATCCTTTTTTATAAAACAACGCTTAGGTGTGTTCCAAAAACAAAGCTTAGGTGCTAAAAATTTAGCAGTAGGTGGATAACCAATGTGGTTGCTCATTGGTTTGACACTTGTTCACAATTTTTCTCTGTTGTAAAAAATTGTGCAATATTACAAAATATACATGTAAAAGACTAGAATAACCTTTTTGTAAAAATTTGGGGCACATTTTCGAGTCAGTGGACGCTATCCTTGAGCTCCACGAAGCTCTAAGTTCCTCACCATGTAATCGGAAGAACTAATACTGACTAAGAAATCAGTGATCGGGATGTCTTCAAAATCAAACGGGATCAACCAACTCTAGAATAGTGAAGATTACCTCGAATACCCAATATATCTTAGTGATTCTATTGATGGTTTGGACAAGTTTGGTGGAATTGAAGGTGATGAAGTGGCTGAAAATGGTGAGAAAGCCTCCGACTCTCGCTAGGGATCACAAATGCATGCTTTCTCTAGAGCATACATGGCTACTCAGGCCATGGATGTATTTGAGACTGAGAAGGATCATAACAGCTATGACAGAGATAAAACTAGCATCATATTTGAATAAACGGTGAACATCTCAGTAGGGGACAAGATGAACAGCCTCGTGTTCAATGAAGGTGAGTCGTCTGACAATTTAATTTGGATCGATTTGGGTCAGAGTCCGTTGGGTTCTAACAAACAAATTAGGTCAGATTCACAAACAAAAGATTTCCTTTCCTTTGCCACCATTTTACCTTTTTTTTTTTTTATGATAAAAGGTAAATTTCATTACCAACTGTTACATACATAAATAAAGGCCCATAAACATAACAAATACAAACAAAAGATGGGCCTCCAAGACAACAACCAAACAACCCAACTCGAGGGTTGAGCCTGAAAAGAAAAAGCATATAATACAACACAAATCAACCCTAGCCACCTATTACCCCCGTCGCAGCCAAAGTAAGCCTCGATGACCACGAACCAGCTTCCTATCCTACATGGGAGGTGAACCCCAACTAAGCCCCAACAAAAAGATAAGTTGCCATCCTCAATCAAACTCCACAAAGAATCAATATGCCGCCACCAATGATATAAAACTAGGGAGAAAGTCAATGGATCCACTAACAACAGCGTCGAGACCGGCACACGAGTGGAAGGTGGTGCTATGAACACCCAAGCAGAAGCTTTATGCACCTTCCGATAAAGTCGTCATGGCAGGAAGAATCATGAGCAACTTTTCCGAAAACATACTTCTAAGGTACATGGCAATCCAATATATGATGACAAAGAGGTAAATTCAGGGTCACACAATGACTCCATGTGCTATCATTTGATGTTGTTGTCTTATCAGTTTTGATGGATTTGGACTTTGAAGAAAAGAGAGGGAAGAGGGGAGAAATGAGATCAGGACTAGACAAATAGAATGAGGTTAGTTGACTTAGTCAAGCATTTTCGTGTAGCGGACTTCCTTGGGAATAAAATTCCTATTGAGGATTTCCTAGTCTGGATGCCTCATTTGGACTTGCTTTGACACATAGTGTATGTGTTGAAAAACGTGCTTGAGTTAGTACACTGATTGGGTATGGATGTAATCATACTCAAGGTCGACATTCAGTTCGACCCCTCGATTGATTTCTAGATCACCTTGTCGTGGATTTGGCTTGGGTAAATGGTTGGAATTATTTGTGGATCGAATGTGATTCTTCTTTAGTGGTCCTTTTTCTTTCTTCCACTTCTCGCAAGATTCCTTGGTGTCTACGTGATTCTTCTATATAAAAAAATGTGATTCTTCTATGGTCCAACGACCAAGCCTTATGCGTAGCTCGACTTGCCTAATCCATTATCATCCTTTGCTACTCCATTGATTGAAATCTTATTCATTTTCAATTTTTGATTAAGGTCCTTGGGTATTAATAACATCATTAATTATTTGAATAATAAAATATTTTTATTTTTAAATATATTCCTTTAGTGTTAAAAATTTTACAATTAGTATATTTATATTTATGGCTACATTTGTTATCATATATTTTTATTTTTAGTTTGTACCAAATTTTTTTTCATTTTTAATTTGTACCCATATGTTAGTTTTTTTTTTTGTGCCCATATTTTTTAAAGTTTTATTTTTGTTTGTACCCATGTTTATACTGTCACGTGACATTATATATTTAATCAATGATAGAAAAATTACATATGGTTTATTTATGTTTTTTTATGCCTAAACTTTGTATCATGTATTTATATTTTTAGTTTGTACCCACTTTTAATTTGCAACATTTTTTTAAATTTGTAGTATTTTCTTTTTAGTTTTATTTTGTACCCATGTATTAATTTTTTTTTAGCGCCTATATTTTTTAAAAATTCATTTGTACTCATAATTTTTTAATCTTTTATATGCACCCTAATTTATTTATAATGTACCCATTCTTCTTTATTAATGTACCACTTTGTTATATGTGAAATGTACCAATTTTTTTAACACTATGGATACATTCTTTTGCTATTTATTATTTCTTATTTTTACATAGTTTTTATCCATTTATTCAATCAAAATGTTTGAATTTTTTTATTATAACCGTTTCTAATAGTATTATAATGAGGGATTTTAAATTTATAGGATTATAAATCTCATAAAATATCAAACAATTAATGTCAAAACTATAAAAATATAAATATTAATTGTAATATAATGAGGTGTACAAAGTCAAAGGACTTTAATCAAACTTTGAATACCATTAAGGTTTTAGTCAAAGAATGTTAAGGATTAGAGACCGCATCCAAAGTATCCCTAAAAAAATGTTATAACCTACAACCCTTTGGTTGTATAAACTTTTCAGAGGTTGGATTAGGGGTTAAGACTTTCGGGTCCGGGGGCCATGTCTTGTGCTCATAGCCACCTATCGTAATCACGCTTAATAGGGCTCCCAAGATGCTAACTGAACAATACATAATGGGCTAATTAGACTCCTTTGACATTATGACTTTGAATTTTTAAACTTGTAATTATGCGAAGTTTCAAAGTTGTGTGTTATTTGGGATTTTTTTGGTATTCCCTGCAGCACAAAAGGAAAAGAATGAACAAACGTGTAGTATTTGTGAGATAATTACCTTTGAACGAAAAATCTCATAGTAATAATTTTGAGCTAGTAATGACTTTAAATATTTGTTTGAATCTAATGTGTTAATCCCTTTTTTATTAAAGCTCGTAAACAAGCTCTATTCTTATATATAATCATCTCAATACTAAATTTTTCACACAAATTTTAAAGCTTGATGTTAATTGATTAAAATTTTCAATGACAATACAAAATAACAAAAAATACCTTTGATTGGTCTCCAATTAATTATACTTGTAACTATTATTTTCTAATTCCTTTTATTTGGCTTAAACGCCTTTCTTGTAATGGATTTCTGACTCCGCCACTTCTTCACGTTAGCTGGCTTTGATGAACTAAGCAATATTGTTTATTTACAGTGACTTTACTCTTGCAGGCAATTCCAAGGACTCTATGGCTCGACAAATCCGGGAAACAGTTGATGCAATGGCCAGTAGTAGAAATTGAAAAGCTACGTGGAAATACGGTCATGTTGCCAAGAGCATCTCTCTCTATCTCTCTCTCTCTGTGGCCAGTAGTAGAAATTGAAAAGCCACGTGGAAAGACGGTCATGTTGCCAAGAGCTAGCATGTCTCTCTCTCTCTCTCTCTCTCTCTCTCTCCAACAATGTCTAACCAAACTTCAAATTCTTAACTGCTTGTTAACTTCCTTTTTTGTTTTATTGGTCGGTAGGTCTTCCTTAAATAAGGATAATGATAAGACCACTTTGTAAATGTGGATCCTCTTCGTGAGAAGCTGTCACTAAAAAGCTTGGTAAGTTAATCAAAATATTTCAGTATATATATTCTTTATTGAAAGAAATGTTGAAAAATATTAGTATTTAGGTTTATTTTATTATTTGGGTTTTGCTTGGTAGTTTAGGAATTGGGCCTAACTCATCCGAATTAAGGTTTCTAGGTTTTGCTCTCTATAAATATAGCTTATAGTTTAGCATGAATAACAAGTTTAGTCACGATGTAGCCTATTGGGATTTTGTAGCCGTTTCGGCATTCAGTTAGTTTAATAATATTCTGATGTGAAAATTAACTTGACACACAAATTAAATCCTATTGATGACAATTGTAGTAAAGATGTAAGTAGGGATCATTCTACACCGGGGATTAACTAGGGATGCTAATCTACACGGATATGACTCAGAAATACTAAATTAAACTTAAAAACGCTATACAAGACTCTTATAACTCAAAACAGACTCAAAACAGCAAAACTAAGTTAAAAAGACTCAAAACAGGTTCTAAGGACTATTTGGACGAATTTAACACTAGTGGGACTTAAAACACTAAGTTAGACAAATTGAAACACCTATTTAACTAATCTAAGACACTTAATTGAAAGGTGGATTGATTTGGACGAAAATTAACTAAATAAAACGGATTGCAAAACAAAGTAAATTAGGTGATTTGAATGATGAAAACTTAGCCAGATGATCATTCTCCACACATGACATATGCATATAAACCAATTTCCAGTATTGTTCCTTTAAACCATGAATAACAACACCCCAAGTTAACCGTGACAACACAAATTAACCATCAGATTTTCCTTATTTCATTGAATTGGACGGGATACACATCACAACCAAATTATCTTT